TAGTAAAGAAAGTAGTTTTCTTTTTTTTAAAAAAAAATTCAATGGATGAAAAATTGAATTTGATTCCCTCATCAATTTCAATGCATGGACTAAAAATAATTTTATTTAATTGAATTTAACTAATTGAGTATTAATATACTATCAAAATAAATTATTTTATCTAATGAGATTCAATTGTATTTCTATACAATTTTTTTTACATATATGAAAATCTATTATTCAATGAAATTACTTTTAGTGGCCATTGAAATTGTCACTAGAATTGTCATTAAAATTTTTTATTTTGCCCGGTCATTTAAAAGGTCTTTACCAGCACTCACTTTAAATGTCACTAATAATTTTACCGACCCCACATACAACGGCCATAATCTAATTGTCGGTAAAGATATTAATGGTCATTTGTATGGTCGCTAAATAACATAAAAATTGCCCCAAAAAAAGCATTTTTGGTATTGTGATATTAGTAATTATTCTTGCATATGCAAATACAATAGTACTTCACGAGATTGTGCTAACACCATAATCTCATGTATTTAATAGATTTAAGATTATAATTTACTACATGATGTCATTTTTGTTTTCAAATATAAAAATTAAAAAATAATATTATGAGAACAAAATGTGTGCTAATGAGCTAGCATGCTTGACCCATTGCTCACAAAGAGCTTATAATGGATAAAAGTTGGAAAATATTGTTGTACTGTAAATTTTAAACCATAAAATGAAGACGAAAAAAAATTATTAGCTGGCAACAAAATTAGCCAAATTCATCTTAATTTGAATTCACAGTCGATGACACTCTTAAACATTCCCTTTTCCTGACGTTAACATTTCCTTTTAACCTGACTTTGTTTGATTCATTGAAGCATGATGCTTGTGAAGTTCGTGTACTTTCCCAAGTTGGCCAATTTCCCATTGTGTTTATTTGAAGTCAATTTAAACCAATTGGGTGTATATAATGAGTTAAAAATAGTTAATATTACGCTTAATTTCTCTCTTATTTTATTTCCACTTGAAATATTTTATTGATAATTATAAAATTATAATTTTCCATTTTTTATACATACCTTTATAAAATAATGCAGAAAAATACACAAACCATTGAATCAGAAGATAAAAATAAAAATAATGTGATATTTTGTAAATATTATTACAAATGTATTAGTTGAAAGTAAAGTGAAAAAGCAAATCAAAGTTATTATAAAGAATTATCAAGCCTATTTTAATTATAGATATAGTTAAATTAGTATATATAAGTAGAAGAAAATTCTTATTTACTAGTTAATTAATGAAATTGAGCTAAATTGAAGTTCACATTTTAGATGATAACAAAATTGAATTAACAATTGTTGGAAATATTAGATGGTTCACTATCGAACTATCAATAGAATTTAGTTTTAAAAAAATTTCATACTTAAAATTTCCAAAAATTCATAATCTAAGATTCACTACAACAAAATTTAGTATTACCAATAATTATTTAATGACAATAAATTAATTACCTCTATTTTATTATTTAATAAAAATATTAATGACTATTATATAATGGCCACTAAAAATGTATTTACATCACATCAAAATTTACTATTAGCGACAATTATTTGTTAGAAAAAACTTAAGTCTCACATCGACTATAAATAAAATAATTAAAGAGTATATAAGTGAATGATAACTCTCACCTTACAAGTATGTTTTATAAGGTTGAGTTGGACCTATAACTTACTATTCTAAGTTGGTATTTAGGAGATAAGATAATTAAAAAATTAAAGAATATATACTTAGAAGATAACTTTCATCTTCTAAGTCTCACATCAATTAGAAATAAAGTAACTAAAGAGTATTTGTACTCATCTTACAAGTCCTACATCGACTAAAAATAAGATAATTAAAGAGTATTATAAATCTTTTCTTAAACTTTTAGCGACAATTTTAAATGCCAGTAACAACTGACACAAAAAATTATACACTTTTTCTGACCATTATAAGGGTCTTTACTAGCATATAGAATAATTGCCGGTAAATATTTTAGCGACACTGCATACAATGGCTAATGTGTGAAATACCGGTAAAAGATTTTGTAGCGATTTTTATTGTCACTAAAAGTCATATTAAATGCCGCTAAAAATATATTTTATTGTAGTGATTGTATAAATGGAGTTTAGTTAATTAAATGATGAACGATAAGTAAGAGTTAAAGTAGAGTTTTATTGAGTTTAGGCTAGTTTAACTAATGAATTGGGATAATACATTGCTACGTAGTTTTGGTAGATCATCTGCTAAAAATTGATTTACTCATTTAAAGTTGTAAAATGATGATGGAAAAAAATTACACAGTTATGTTTTTGTCTTTGACAATTTAACCAAACGTTCCCACTTTTAATTAGCTCTTTGGGACGAATATGGCACAGGGGATGATGGATGTTATGATTTTATTTTATTTTTTGACAAAATGTGTTCGCGAATAAATCATCACATTTGTTGAATGCACATGATGATATGAGTCCCTTGCAAACCATATTTGCCTAGTAAAAGTTGTGTGTTGTCTACGTATGTTCTGTCCTTTAACGCGTACACATTGTGTAAAAAGTTTTGGTGTTGTGTAGCATTTTCATATATATATATATATATATATATATATATAAAAGAGTTGAGAAATAATGACGTGATAATTACACAATTTCTTTGCTTCCACGTCCCAAGGTGCCTCTTGCACAAGTTAACTATATATATGCTTTAATCTCAAAGAAAGCGCGTGAGAGAAGAAAAAACAAATTTAGGAGAGATATCTTTACTTAGTCAAATAAAGATTCATATATACTGCCAAAACCTGACAGTTTTTGTATCCTTTTTCTTCCCCTTTCTTTCCCAAAACAAAATTACTCTGGAAGTTTTTTCAGCACTCTCTTAGAAACTTAAAAGAAACATAGAAAAAAGAAATAAATTAATGTCTTGGTGATAAATCATCCTTAGTTCGTTGATTAATTATAATCGTTTATTTTATATTATTAGTATTTATTTTATTAATTAATCTAAGTTGTATATATATAAGAGGCGAAATCATTGAAGTAATTAGGAGTTTGGATAAAGAGGAAACCATCTTTTTCTGCGAGAAAATCAAGAGAAAGCAGCCAAATATATAGTCAATTGTGATAATAACTTGAACAAATTTGAAGTTTTCCAAGAGTGTGAGAAAGTGGACTCTTTCCTAACAAAAATAAAACAAAAGAAAATCACATGCATCGTAATATATTCCACCTATCTCTGTCAAGGTGTGTTCCAATTTCTACCCAAAGCAACGAATAAACCATTCATGGCTAATTCGATGACTTGGGTCAACTCAAGGCTCAAGCTGATATACCACGTCCACTCCATAATTCAACATCTCCATCGTAGCAATCATAAAAAAAATAGCAAAGTCCCAAACCGTTTTGAACTTTTGGCGCATAATTCATACGAAGCCCTTCAAAACAAGGTTTTCCATTTCTAGTACCGTTGGATCGCCGACCCATTAGTCAAAGATGAGATCTTAAAGACCAATCCAACGGTCACCACTCGTTTAGTAAAATACGGAAACATATTACAAGATTCGGATGCATCCATTATTAAAAAGCTTATACCAAAAATGAATAAAGTAATGTAATAATTGTGTCAGTTTCACGGAACCAGCCTCGTAGGTTCTAGCCGGTCTCGTTTTTTCCAAATTAAAACTCACACAACACGTACCATGAAACACGCTCAACTCTAAGTACTCTATAATAATGACATGTTTTCTTGAGCTGCAAAAGAGTTGAGAAATAATGACGTGATAATTACACAATTTCTTTGCTTCCACGTCCCAAGGTGCCTCTTGCACAAGTTAACTATATATATGCTTTAATCTCAAAGAAAGCGCGTGAGAGAAGAAAAAACAAATTTAGGAGAGATATCTTTACTTAGTCAAATAAAGATTCATATATACTGCCAAAACCTGACAGTTTTTGTATCCTTTTTCTTCCCCTTTCTTTCCCAAAACAAAATTACTCTGGAAGTTTTTTCAGCACTCTCTTAGAAACTTAAAAGAAACATAGAAAAAAGAAATAAATTAATGTCTTGGTGATAAATCATCCTTAGTTCGTTGATTAATTATAATCGTTTATTTTATATTATTAGTATTTATTTTATTAATTAATCTAAGTTGTATATATATAAGAGGCGAAATCATTGAAGTAATTAGGAGTTTGGATAAAGAGGAAACCATCTTTTTCTGCGAGAAAATCAAGAGAAAGCAGCCAAATATATAGTCAATTGTGATAATAACTTGAACAAATTTGAAGTTTTCCAAGAGTGTGAGAAAGTGGACTCTTTCCTAACAAAAATAAAACAAAAGAAAATCACATGCATCGTAATATATTCCACCTATCTCTGTCAAGGTGTGTTCCAATTTCTACCCAAAGCAACGAATAAACCATTCATGGCTAATTCGATGACTTGGGTCAACTCAAGGCTCAAGCTGATATACCACGTCCACTCCATAATTCAACATCTCCATCGTAGCAATCATAAAAAAAATAGCAAAGTCCCAAACCGTTTTGAACTTTTGGCGCATAATTCATACGAAGCCCTTCAAAACAAGGTTTTCCATTTCTAGTACCGTTGGATCGCCGACCCATTAGTCAAAGATGAGATCTTAAAGACCAATCCAACGGTCACCACTCGTTTAGTAAAATACGGAAACATATTACAAGATTCGGATGCATCCATTATTAAAAAGCTTATACCAAAAATGAATAAAGTAATGTAATAATTGTGTCAGTTTCACGGAACCAGCCTCGTAGGTTCTAGCCGGTCTCGTTTTTTCCAAATTAAAACTCACACAACACGTACCATGAAACACGCTCAACTCTAAGTACTCTATAATAATGACATGTTTTCTTGAGCTGCAGAAAACACACGCATATATAGTGAAGAAGAATATATATTATCAAGTGTGTTTAAGGTGTTAACCAAAAAAAGAAAATCTAATGGCAGAAGCACCTTCTTCTTCTTCTTCTTTGCGTGAGAGCAAGGTGGTGAAGGATCACGAGTGTGACGTGGACGCGGCACAGAAGCTTATGCAGCTGAGCGAGGAAGAGGAGAGCAACAGCATTGCGCGCAGCAAGAGGAGAAGAAACAAGAACGAGGAAAAGGCAGAAGAGCTAAGTGATATTATAATGGCCAAAATACAAGAGATTTTCGGGAATGATATTGAGGTTTTTCCAACGAAGAAGCAAAGGAGATATCGATCTCTTGTGAGTATATACATGGTCACAAGACCGGTTAATGCAAGGGTTAAGGCCTGAGAAGTAAGGGTAGTTAATATATAAAACTACTATATATATATCTATATTAATTAAACCCTGAACTTGGGACTTGGAAATTATGAAACGTATCTATAGTTTTAATAATTGTTAACAGGTCAGTTCCAGATTTTTGTGTGTTGAGGAGTTGATTTCTCTAGTAACTTCAGTTGTCATACTTTTATACAGAGAGAAATATGTCTCAACAATGTTGCCTTTTGATAATCCGCTAGATCGATTGTGATTAAAACTCTTAATTATTTAAGAAATGTAGAGTACTTGCATGACACTGAAAGTTGGCGGAGATGGACACTTTTTGAGAACCCTTTTTTTGCATATTGTAAAGTAGAAGATGTTATTTTGAGTAGAGTTGATGAACGGCACAAGTTGTTATTTTCATTGCTGAAGGTCAAGGAAGATGGAGGTAGAAGTTGATGGATTATATTTAAGCTTTGCCTCTCTTGCCACTTCGTTCTCCAAATTTTTAATAGCTTCCTCTTCGATCAAATACTTGTCATACTATATATATAGATTAATAAGCCGGCTGAGAAGATAATCAAATTGTTCGATCAGAATATATATATTTCAAAAGGTTAAATTTAAACTTTGATCTTGTAAAAAAAAGTTATAACTGGATCTCTAGGATTAATTTTGGTGGTTATGGCAGTTTTAGTACGTGTAAGGAATGTTCTGAGAAATTTAGTATAAATAACATAATACTTAAAAGAAAAACGCATTGATGAGAATATGAAGATTCAATATATATTTTCCGTATTACAATTTTATTTTTTTTTTACAATTTTCAACATCTATATATCTTCAACGTAATGTTAGTAAAATTTTAATCGAGGTAGAAATTATACTCTTATTCATGTTTTTTACAATTTTACTTCAACTAGGAGGAGAGATGAAAAAAATGTGAGATAAAATAAGTAATATACAAAAGAGAAATAGGACAAAAAAAATGAATTATAAGAAAACGATAATGATACATACACACATCATTATTCTGAACACTTTATTTTAGATAGATAAATAAATAAATAACAAAAAAATTCAAGTAAGAATACTTATAAATATGAAAATATAAAAATAATTAATAAAAACTTTTAAATTAAAATAAAAAATGTAAATTAAAAGATATTATACCATATATATATAGATAGATATAAGTATTAACTAAATTTTAAGTGTTTATTCATCAAAGTTGTATAAAAATATGATGTATGAATATATTACTCAATCAAATTTATCCCTCAAGTATTCACCAAACAAAAAAAAAAAAATATATATATATATATATATATATATATCCCTCTAGCTTTGTATTATTTGTATTTAATCTACAAATTTTACAACAAACAAGATTTTGATACGGCTCACAATTATGATTAATCTTACTCGTAATACTATAATTATGATTAATCTGATAAATAAATTGCCTTTACAATATGTGAATATAAAATTTCTAATATCATTACTCCATTTGTGAATTGGGGATATGAATGTAATCTAACTAATTGATTTTGCAATTGAAATAGATAATAACCAAGTGTATGGATTAATTTAGCAATTGAATTAGTGACAGAAAAGAAAGAAAAAAAAATCCAACCTATTAAATTGGATTACCAAACACGCACTACGTAGCATGCAGTATATATCTTTATAAAAATAAAAAATAAAAAATGTCTTAAGAATGTATGTGATATCTCGTTAGCTATTGTTATTTGGACGAATTTATTTTTTAATCTGAATGAATATTGAAGTTGCTGTCAACAATAATTGGGTGGAGAGAGTTATTAAACTTTTCATTAATTTTTCCCCTCCTTGGGAGAGTTAAAAAGAAAGAGGATTTAAAATATTTAAATATAATGTCTAAAAATTCTTATTTATGTTTTAAAATTCAAAATTATAATGAGTTAAAAGTAAATTAATTTTAAAAGTTATTTCTTTCTTTCTTTTTTCGAACCGAACGAAAAATAACTCTCCTTCCTTCCATTAAATTCATCATCTTACATTCTCTTAATCAAGAAGAATGAGAAATAAAAATTATTTCCTTCCTTTCTTTCTCTTCTCCCTAAAGCTCCTTTATTGTATGCTCCTTCAAACCAAATAAATCCTAAAAAATTTAACAATCATGTATATTTTTAAAATTTTAACTAAAATATGCACGGCTTTAAGACAAAGAAAACATTAATCAGAATTTCAGATAGATAAAAAATATAGAAAGGAATAAATTGGTAATAGATCCCATCAATTATTTTATATAAGACAGAGCATAAAATAATTTGGTGGCATTTTATTTTATTTCCTTTCATTTCATACTTTAATTTTTTTTTCCAAAATTAAAGTTATTAAATAATTTTTTTTAATTTGCCTTCATATAAGAGATTCTATAATGAAATAATAAATCTTGTGATGAACCACTAAAATTAGTTTAGTGGTGGGAGGTAGAATAACATATACATGATTTTAAATTCGGATTTTGTTATTATCACTATAATTTTGATGAATAAAAAAATAATAAATTTGTGAATGAGAAAAAATAATTAGAAAGAGAGTCTTTATTAATGATGATTAATCAACTCCAATAACACAGAATAGTTTCTAATAAAGTAAGTGAATATGTTGCAAATAAATAAATGTCATTTTACATTAATCGGTTAACTTCCTAGTTAATTTTACCAAATATATTCAATTCAATCAATTAATTTATAAGTCATCAATTTTTCAACTCTTAATTTATAACTTAAATTTTTAACTAATTTATAAACTTTCAATCAGCTTATAAATTAATTTTATCAAGCAGATTCTTAGAGGTGTCAGGTGTCAAATTTGATGAGACGAGTCATACTAACCCACACGAGTTAGTTCATTTCATCAGGTCAGGTCTGAGGTCTGGCTAGCCCATAATTTATTTGGGCTTCTATTTTTCATTTGATCAGGGCACGTCTGGCTAGTCCATATTTTATATGAGCTTCTATTTTTGAGGCACAGCCAGGCAGTAGTATATCAATTATCAAGCCATTGGGCAACCTGGTTAAATGACCTTAAATTAAGAATTATCAAAAATTAATTTGGTAATTCTGCACAAATTTTAACTAATTATAGTGTTAAAAAGTAGAGTTAATTACATATATACTGTCAGTTTAAAATCTTTTTACACTGACAACTAATTATATCTTTTAATTGTATCATGTCAATATTAAAAGTATATATGTTTATAGTAACATGACATAATTAAAATATATAATTAATTATCAGTGTAAAAACTTTACACTGATAATGTATAAATGATTAACTCAAAAAATATTTAAAAAAAGGTTGGTACACCTGTTGGTATAAAATTAAGCATAATTTTATGTTTTAGTTGGTCTAGATTTCAAAATTGCGAGCATGGGAAGCTTATGCGGATCACGGGTGACTTTCGAGTCGATATGGCTTTATTTAAGTTAATATAGAATGTTTCACGACCTTCTATCTTTTTGCAGTAAAATAAATTGAAATTCCAGAGGCCTAAAACTATAAGACCCATAAGAAAAAGGAGAAAATAGAAGACAATACACGTAAGAAAAAATAGCAAGGCGAGATTGTTAAATACATTGACATGCGCAACGTTAGACTGATCATAAATATCGCCAATATTGGGACATTACCATTTCTGTAATCATACATCTAATACAATTCATGAATCAAAATCTATAAACTAGAACTTAATTTATGAAAGCTAAGGCCACAGAATTATGCTTGTATCTTCAGGAGCCTCGAAGCATGTATGAACTTCTTTAAACCTCCCCTTTAAACTTGGCTTCGTATAACTGTGGTTGCTGCAAAACAAAAAATCTTGGTATAAAGGTAATGTTTTTCTGTATAACATTGGAAATTGTTAAATTTAAAGGAAAGAAAAAAGAAAGAACTAGTTTATCGGTTTTGATATAATCAAAAACCTCTTATTTTAATTAACCTTCTATGTCAAGAACTAGTTTGATACACTTAATACAGGCCCAACCCAGGGACACTCTTAACTATTAAGACAACAAGAGGCACTTGCACTGACTTCTATACTATATTTAATTACATAGGCCTGTATTTATGAGAATAAGTTCTTCTAGACTTGATTAACTCGTTAAAATACATTAAACGATGACTTCAGTGGATAAAATCTAATACACTTTTAAATAACTATCATTCTTCCGCATCACACTTGATTCAATTTGTTTTGCTCATACTATATGCTAAGCCATTATTAACCCTTTAGCACAAAAATGAACTCTTGTTTTCATTTGATCTTGTTCTCATAATTTTTTTAGTTATTAAAAACATATTAATGAAAAATAAAAACAGAAAATAGACCGACCAAACACCTAACCTAACTTTATTTCATATTACATTTCCAACTCCAAAGACAAGAAAGAAGATAGAACGGAACTCATAATATTAACAGATTACCATGAAGATGGCTGAAATTAACCTGCGCGCAAACCATCTCATGTGCATTGCACGTTGAGCAGCACTCGCTGCTTCCACTGTTTCAAACTGCAAATAAACAAAACCCGCACTTTTCCTGTATATGTACAGAAAAACAATTAAAGTATTGTAAGTCGCATTAAATGTGGAAATTAATTTAATTTATTAAAAATAAAAGATAAAAGCATACAACATCATTATTCATGATTATTGAATCTTGTTAAACATTTATGAACTTACTTGTCAACAAAAATATGCTTCACCCGGCCATATTTAGAACACTCTTCCTCTACATCCTCTTTAATGTCTATATCAAAATCTGGCTCTGTCTGCATTGCAATGTTTGTCATCAACGTCAGTACTTTGTTTAATGAAACATCATATGGAGGAAGTATATAATCAGTTAACCACAGACCTCGGTGCTCGGATCAAACATATTCTTTAAAAGTAAACACTCGCTGGGGCTTCCTACAGGTTCTACCACTGGGGTAGGCATAACTTGTGTTGGTAGGACTGATGCACCAAGAGGCAAGCTAATAGCCTGCTGAGCTGGAACTGACCCATTCAAACCAGGCATACCTATGCTGCAATGTTGAAAACTGTGAAGATAATGATCAGATTTACAAAATATATGAGGAATATTATTAACAACAAACCTTGCAGGAATGTCAGTGCCGGCCAGCCTTTGCATAAGCAATGCTCTTGAGTGTGCATTTAATGTCTGCATACCAAAGCACGGTAGATAAGCAAGGTCCTCATTTTGAAGAAAGACCATTGTCATTATACCAGGAAAAAAGCAAAGAGTAGGAACAGGAAGCTTCCTAAACACCCTCAGGCTCATCTCCAACTAGAGCCGAATATAGTTCCCAACAGTAGAAAAAAGACAATGAAAAGTGAAGATATAAAAGATGCACCAAAGAAAAAGTGGGATCTTAATCAGATTAGGTAACAGCGAATGCTGAAAACACCTGATTCTAACCTACATCCAAAATTCACATAGAAGTTAAAACCTGTGCAAATCCTCATCAACACTAAAACTTCAATGCAGGTAACAACCAATCCATGAACATAAATAGTTAAAATTAAAATTGTATAAACTTGTAATTTCTAAACTAACATAATAGCAAATAATGCTTCCAGCCTCCCAGCCAATCAAGCTTCTAGCAATCTGGAAAAATAACCACTTACCTAATTTTCTAGCAACTTCGAGGCCCATTTGTTCAAGTGTGGAGAAAAAAAAAAGATTTTATGATACACCATTTCTCGAGCTTTTGCTTAAAATATATTATTTTTACTTCTGGAAAAAATATTTTTTTTTTATCTGGTTGCATTGATTATTATAATTTTTTAAACATCTGGTAATTGAGAAAGGTCCTTTTTCTTTAAAGCACAACGCAAACTACTTTAGTAAATTTGCAGTATTGCATGGACTTGTGAAAACCAGCTTTTGAATAATTTGTTTTCATATAACAAGAGCAAACTTACCAGTCCACCTTCATCATCGTCCAAGTCTGCAGATTTTGCAGTTGTATCTTGGCTTCCAACATGATCTGTTACACATGAAACCTGAATTTGATGAACAACATCAGTCACAATCATAAGAAAAAGCTGAACTATCATCAACAAAATTGAAAACAAACATGAAAAAAACAAAATGACCAATACAAACATTCCTACCTTGATAGTCCTGCCAGCAATCTCCAATTTTCCATTCAAACTCTGAGCTGCCTTGGCATGTTCAAGATGGGTAAACTGTCCAATAAATGCAAATTAAATAGATAAATAACAATATTACCTGAAGCAATATTTTTCAAAGTTAGGTTAGAAACGAACTTGAACAAACCCAAAACCCTTGCAGTGTCCTGTCTCCAGGTCAAGAGGCAGTTGGACAACCTCAACCGGACCAAATGGCTCAAAAATCTATGACACCAAAAAAGAAATATGTCAAACAATGATAAAACTGTGACAATAAGATTCAAATTGGTAACTGCCTAACAACAAACTAGATCCAGTTTTGAGAAACTTGATATTTTATCAAGCTATTGGTATTCAATAAAATCTTGCGCATTCATATTCCTGATAAATGTAGTAAAAGACCACGAACAAAATATGCCTAACACGTGCATCTTCACCACAACAGCCAATTAAACAGCAACCAAAAAAAAAAAGATTACCTCCCGCAGCTGACTCTCGGTCATGTTGAAGTGAAGATTCCCCACATACAATTTTCTATCAACAGCTCCATAGGGCCCAGCTACACCAGCCGCTCCACCAGAAGCATTAGATTGAACAAGGTTCTTTTCAGCTTCAGAAGGTTTCACCATTACAGGTTGCCCAAGAAGAAGTTGACCAGAGAGAGCAATAGCCATTGGCACTGACATTGCATCATAAAATTCAATATACCTGCAGCCTCATCAAGAACTTGCATCAAGTTTTCAGAACTAAAAACAAATAGCTGCAATCAAAACTTACAAAGCATACAGCAAAGTGATGTAGCCAAACAAAAACTCTAGTGCAGACAGCTCAAGCTGAGTTTCATTTGATGTATCTGACTTGTAAAGTAAATGTTAGCCTGTCATAATAAACATAAAAAGCTAAAGCATGTATGAATTATTAAATTGACAATTCAATCAAGAGATAATAAGAGAAGACCATATGAGAATAAAGAAAGGAAACCATCGAGACTGGAAGAGGCAGGATTAGCAACAGTAACAAATATCATTTGCCTGTATATAACATATAATAGTATGTATATAATACAATGGTGTGTATATATATGTGTGTGTGGGTGGGTGGGTGGGTGGGTGGGTCTATAATACGTGTACAAGTGAAAATCAAATCCTCAGAAAAGAAACCCAACCTAAACCTGGCAGCTGGCCTTGCACTAACTCACAATTCAATCCATGAGGCATTAGCATCTCATCTAGCTACTAATAGCAACTCTCCTAACAAAAATTTGAGGGTGAAAAGGATAGTAAAATTTCCTCCATATAAACCTTATCAAGCCCCACAACCAATACAAGGGTCTTCCAATAAATAAATGGAGGAAAATAAACTAAAATGGGTCATCCATCAGCATACAAATGAAATCCTCATTGTATGGCATGCAGAGGAAGAAAATTTGGAATAGGACCAAACATAAAACTAGGATTATGTCATCTACCTTGAGTGCGCAGCATGAATTGATTAAACATGAGTGCAAGGTATTCCCACCATCCCTCATCATTATCGCATTGCTAGTCCATTTAAAGATACAGTTAAATATGATTCTTGGAAGTTGATATCCTAATACCACAATAGCACATACACATAAACAAGAAATTATTTGACAATAAAACACATACCCAACTCCTTTAGATCGTCTTGAGTTCCTATCCATGATCAGACGGACATCTCTCACCTGAAAGGAAGGAATATTAAACTTGACAGATGAAGTATCTCGAACAGAGGCACAAATATAAGATATTCACTCCCAAGCAAGCAAACCAAAAACCAAATTTGTGGCATTGAAAATATCATCATGTAAACCCAACCCATATTCACTCATCACACAAACAGAATGCTGAGACATAAACTAACTTGCTGTCCTACTTTAAACTAAGGATAGAGGGCAAGATACTACAACAGCAACTAAATGTTTAGGCTAAGAAGCATTCAGTATGCTAGTAAGAACTTGCATATTCATAATTGTTATCACTCATCATCATTGAGAAGCAATAATATACTAAATATAAAATAAGACAATATTAATGGTTTAAAAGTCATTTCAGTTCTAATGGAAAAAGAACAGTTTGATAGGGAAGTAACCACAGTTTCAATGGAAAAATTACAACAAATTTAAAAGCAACTGACCTTGCCAGCTTTTGAGAAGAACTCGTAGACATCTCTTTCAGTTGCTTTTAAAGGCATCTGAGATCACCACCGGCAAATAGGGAATCATCAAACAAGACACCAAATACATATTAACACAAATTTATATATTTTAAAACAAACAAATATTGGGCCATCCAATCAACCTGGTAGGCAAAAACAGTTCTCTGATCCCTTTCTGGGTCTGCCTCAGGTTCCACAGCCTCTTTCTTATCCCTAAATCTCCTGCAACACAAATAAAAATTAAGTTGTAAAAAAATAAATAGAGAAGTTCATATAAGTTGTAAAAAAATAAATACAAATGTTAACACTGCAATCCAAAGTGGCACCTAATCTTGAGAGGGAGCGATGTCTCCAAATCTAACTGTATAGCGTAAAGTATTATTTGTTAGCACATCATCCACCAAAACATCACTTAATAATTCTTACAATATTATGCATACATCCCAGGACCTATGGTCAGCATTTTCTTACTTTATTATCCTTCAAATGAATACAGACCAAAATGCAGTCAGGAACTTGTCACAACAGCAGCCTAACTTTCCAACTCATTAGAAATAAATCCATGGTGTAATAATACTAATACCAGGAATCATATAACAATATAATACCTACATCAGGAAAACCTGCTCAATCATAGAATCAGAGTAGTCAAATGAATGCCTAAGGCCCCACGGTAAGGCATCAGAAGAGGTATCATCACCCTATTGCGACCATAGAGTACCTTTCTGGTCCAAAAGACAGATGCCTTTCATAAATTATTCATATATCATAACTGTAGAAAAAGCCTAACCAACTCTACCTTTATAATGTGACAGTGATACTAGTCTAAAGGGTGTATAATAGTCATCATATTAAAAGAATAACTAGCTGTCAGCCATTCGAACTCTTAGCAGCAAGGAGCTTAGCATTTCGTGAGTTGCATGTCATAATCTCTTATTTTTAGAATAACTGTCTATGCATATGGTAGCACAAGGCATTAGCAAGTCTGTTTTCTTTAATAAGGTGTATACCTCTAAATTTTAACCCCCTATCCCCTAAGGCATTAAAATCCCTTGGTGCCTTAATGGCACATTTCACCTTTGACTAACTTGCTTGAAACATGTCACCTTAACTGATCCCTGTCCTTGAAAATGTAATTAAACACTAATAATAGCTAGGATATGATTGATCTAAATTCTCCAGCCACCTCAAGGTCATTATTAAAGGAATGCGAACCACAGAATCATATGTAACACAAGGCAGAAGCTAAAATGCATAAAACCTAACCTCAAACAGTACAAATCCAGTCACGCCATGAATAAGAAATGCTTAAACTACCAAATAGGTCCAACCAACATGAATAATAGGCACACCATTAGCCTTTTCAGTTTCCACCATTGACAAAACTCATTAAAAAGAATTCCGAAAACAGATTTCAAGTAAACCAGTAGCTGAAAAGTAACAACTACATAGTACATACTGAAAGAAAAACACGAATCCAGCATAAAAGCATAACTGCAAACCACATCACCAACGCACACTTTTATCTGTTTCATTTCTTTATTTTTTTCACTTGATCGTACTTATGAACATCACCGCAAAGCAATCGCGAGGACAATTGAGCTAACAATGAACTCAACAAGTAAACCCTAGTTCACAAAAATATTGCACAAAAGACGAAGGAAATAGGCATTACCGGCCATCGCGCATTTCGAAATCTCGCTCTCTATCTCTCACGGAGCGGCTCCTGCTCCTTCTGGATCTCTCTTTCTCGTCCCTCTCCCTCTCCCTCTCCCTATCCTTCTCTCTTCTCTCGCGCTCCTTTTCCCTATCCCGGTTACTCCTATCCCTATCCCTATCCCTGTCCTTATCCTTATCCCTCCTCTCTCTATCCTTATCCTTCTCTTTCCTCTCTCCGTCTCTCTCCCTCTCGCTCCTGTGACGGCCGGAGGAACGGTCGCGGTCGCGGTCACGGTCACGGTCTCGGTCTCTGTCGCGATCCTTCTTGGAAGCGCCGTTCTCGTCGTCGGCCCTTGACCTCTTGGTCCTTCTGTCGTCGGCGTCGAGATCTTCGTCGACGTCGCGCCTCCGGTAAGTCCTCTCGGTCTTGTCGGTGATCTCCTTCTTCTTCTTGGAGGAATCAACGTCTTCCTCCACTGTCTTCTCCAGGTATTCGTACTCGTCGAAGTCCATCGCTTCCTCCTTCCCTCCGATTTCTCTTCCTATTGAATGTGAAGCCTTCTTCAGCTCAATTTTGAATTTCTAGGGTTTTAGGGTTTTCTTTACTTGTTACAAATAGCGTTGCTTCCTCCGGTATATGTAACAGTAGTATTAAAGCTTCAACTCTTACCCAATATTATAAATAATAAATAAATATTGTGGGTTAGCATTTTATTTTATATAAACTATTGATGTCTATAATAACATTAATGTAATTTTTATTAAATATTAATGTAATTTTTATTAAATATTACATTATTTAATAATTTTATATTAAATATAAATTTTATAAATTTAACTATTAAGTTAAAAGTTTTTTATTATTAAATTACATATACAAAATTTTATATAATCAAAGATGATTTGATACTCCGTTCTTATAAAACAAAATTGACATAATATATATATTTCAAAAAATTTTATAAACATATAAAGTGATATGAATTTTAAATTTAACGGTTGAATTTACAAAATTCACATTTAATATAAAGTTATTGAGCGATGTAATACTTAATAAAAATTACATCGGTGTTATTATAACTCTCCTCTTATAAAATATATATGAAGATTATTGTACGAATTAATGTATATATTTTTTAATAATTTTATTTTTAAATTTTTAAATAATAAAATTAATTTTAAAATTAATCAAATCTATGTATAAGATTTGAACTCAAAATTTTAAGATTTAAAAATCAAATATAACAATAATTTATCTAACAAATATTAATATTTCTTAAATATTGTTAATAAAAAATAATATAAAGGAATAAAATGTTTTGACTCTAATAATAATAATAATAATAATGCATAAAATTCTTAATAAATAAATATTTTTATGTGTATATATATATATTATAATTTAAAATTATATAAAATAATTATTTTAAATGTATACATTGTTATATTTTAATTTATAGCAAATTACTTGAGTTATTACTCTAAACTAATGTTAATTGTTGATATTTTTTAAAATATTAAAAGATAAAAATAAAAGGTAAAGCGGAAAAATTGTATAATTAAGAAAATAAAATGCATTTCAGAAGAAAAAAAAAACTCTTCGACAGTTCAACTTGTGGATTCTAATTTATAGTATACAAGTATATTAATCTATTAGGAATTATTGCATTTTTTAAAGAAAAAACTGATGAGAAATTATTTATGTTAAATTATTAAAAAAAACATGATTTATAAATAAATTTAATTATTATTGTAAATTATTTGGCATAAAATAAGCTTATATTATACTTTTAATGTTTTTTTTTAAATATACATTGTTGTCTCAACATTATGAGTTGTATATATCTATTATCAACTTTATGATCTCACAAAATTAAATAAATTTATATATTATTAAAGGTAGAATAATCTTGTAAAAAAAAAATTCTTCTCAAAATTGTATAGTTTGGGTTCTCTCTTTTTTTTTTAAAAACTTCGCAAAATTTCAAATTTTAAATATTGCCTATCAATTTTAAAACAAAATTATTAGCAATTAATAAATTAAACTATTGTATCACTTTTTTCATTTCTTACATCTTTTACATTTCTTTAATGATGTCAAGCAATTGTTACAAAAAAAAGTTTACATGCCCCTTCAGCAACATTCATTAAATTTTCAAAAAAATTTGACGAAGACACCAAAATACTAAATTGTAATAGACTTAAATGCGCAATTAAGTTTGCAATATATAATTTCAATTATTTTATAAAAGTTGAACACTGTAGTATAAAAGTTCAATTGTTTTGTGCCACCATTGCTACTTTATATTATATCAAATTAAATTATACTATACACATAACTAATTAAATGGGAGTAAATTAAAAAAAAAAGTTGGATGAATAAAAATATTAATTTGATTAATGTAATTCTTTATTTTAACTTTATAATCGTGGTAATTTATGAGATTAGAAAAATAGTTGTCATAAATAGGCATATTAATCGAAAATAATTGAAACTTTAATCACACTTTCATTTTTCTTTAGTTTAATTAATAATATCTTTAATTCTGTAAAAAAAAAATATATATATATATATATAATATTGATTTAAATTAATTTAAAGTATATTTGAATTTATTTAAAAAATAAGTATTAGGTATATTTTTCATGTATCTTTTTCTTTTATGCTAAACCATATATTTAGGAGTTAGAATTTACTTTTTATGCATCAATAATTTTTTTATATTATCATCTAAATATAAATTATTTTGAATAGGACTTTTAAGATGATTTATACATTATCATCTAATAAAAATTAACATTTATGTTTAATTTGTTGATTTTTGTTGAATAACTACCTTAAATTATACTCACCATAATTTTTTTATTAATTATCACTTGAATTTTTTTCTACTAATAATAATGTATAGAAAATAAATTGTAAATAAATAACATACTTTAAAAATCAATCTTCTTGATTTAATAATTGTAAAGTCTGAATACAAGAGTTGATATAGTACTTATAAGTTTGATTAGAATCTATGCTAAAATAATGTTTGATTAAGAAAAGTCATATTTCATAAATATAAATTAATTTTTAATTGTCAGATTTGGAACATTGTTTGAATCATATCTATAAGAAGAAAAAAATAATATACTCAAAACTAATTTTTTTCTATAATTAAAAAACAAATACGATGAACATAAATACTTCTTTGAAAATAATGATGATTTCATTTGTACTATATTGATCAATTGGTTTATGATGAATTATGGCATATTATCAATGGTAAATTAAACATTTGATTCGTCTAACTCAATTAATTAGATAAAATGAAAGGATTGTCGTAAATTCTCTATTGTCTAGCTTGATTTCAATGAATAAAAAAAAATGACGTGAATTTGGTCAAAAACATTTGGACTGTAATATTGTCATCACATTGTTAAATGTCTTATCTATGCAGGAGACTGCTATCATGGAAAAGGATCTTAACATAACAAAAATGAGTCGATAAAATAAAAGGAGGTATTATGAAAAACAATTAGCAAATAAGGAATATTTAAATAAATACAAAGGACAATTATAAAAATAATCTTATAATTAATGAAATAAATAATAAAATAAAAGAGGAATTATATATAAGATTGAACATAATATTAACATATATCAGTAAATATTTAAAATGACCCATAAAAATGACATTATCAAAATTGTTATTACATTTATTTTATATTTTATTGTTTTAATTTATTTTATTTTATTTTTTTCAACCTCTACTACCAACAGTATTGAATTCCAATGACACAAGATTGAATTAGACAGGTTTATTTTTACTTATTTGGGTAATGAGTTATTGTATGCTCGTGCTCCTAAAATTATTTAAAATTTTGGTAACATTTGTGGCCAATCTTTTTTTATCTCCTTGACATTCATTTAAAATTGCCTAACTTTGCATGGCATGTATGCAGTGACGGATCCAGAAATTTTAGATAGTAGAGGTAATACTTATTTATATATTAATAATATTAAAAATTTTACATAAGTTTCAGTTTCATTCCAGTAGCCAGCCCTTGTTTCGGCAAGTTCCAACCAGGCTACAACTATTTGGCACTCTCTGCCTTGTGTCTTGGCAAGTCCAATCAGCCCACAGCCACACACCTGTTTCGTGCAGCTTTTTGCCCTGTGGCAG